AGCCTGCAGTACTGCACTCTGACCACTACGCCACCACGGCTCAAGATCCTCTCTAGCTGGGCAACCTGCTTCCCCTGAGCAGGACTCTGCCTTGCCTCTTCTGCGCTTGGGCCAGAAAGCTAGACAGGGTCTTTGGTCACCCAGCAGAGGAGCCCAAAATGCTACAGGAAGAGGCTGAAGAGCTGGGGTAGGCAGCCCCCCGGGCTTAGGCAAGCAACCTCCAAGCTGATCTGCAGACGACCGGGAGGGCGGGCCACAGTATGGCAAAGGGGCCCAAGGTGCACCAGCAGCTTCCTCGTTGGGCTAAAAATACCCCCCAGCCCTGGAAGGGGCAATGGGGAAAGTCGCTGTTGGGTGAAGCCCACAGCCAAGAAACTCCCTTCCTCCCACCTGCGCCTGCCAGCTGCAAACATGGATTTGCCGACATGGCAGGCTGCAATGAGCCCACAAGGCTTACTTTGAGGTGGGGAAGGTGAGGAAGGAGAGCCTGCCAGGGCCCTGGCCTCCCCTGAGGGTTGGGCAGAGGGCCAAGGGAGCCACTGTTACCCGGGAGAGGCAGGGCTTCCTGCTGGGGGCTGGGCAGGCTCCCCTCCCTGAGTACCCAGTGCAGGGAGGGGAAGAGATACATCCGCCCCAGAAATGATGTGGCAGGGGGACTGTAGCCCATTGCAGCCAGTTGGCCCTTGCATGCAAGCCTCACCCGACACCCCCACTGGGTGCTGCCAGAGGCACCTTCTCTGCTCCTGGGCCTCTTGAGGTCAGGCATCCCTGGCCAGCTCTGTCCTCTGGCTGCATCATCCGCACTCAAGACCAGGCCTGGAAGAGGAGCCAAAGCGCCTGGTTCCTAATTCCTGGAGCCCCGACCTGCAGGGTCCTTGCCTGCGGGCCTTAGGCAAGGCGGCAGGCACAAAGGCAAGAGCCCGTCCCAAGGAGGGACCGATGCTGGCTCCCCGCTTAGCCTCAGGGGCACTTCAGGGATGCTGTGGGGGCAGCGTGGAATTGGAGCCCCCCTTTGACCTGCAGCAAAAGCTCCGCCTGCTGCCCTGGGAGGGTCAGAATTGAGGGTCCGTGCTGGCCGCCCGAGTCCAAGCAACGTCATGGCCGCTCAGGCTGAGGGCCACAGCTGCCCTCAGCCTTAAGGGTGCCAGTTGCAGGACATGACCCAGAGGGACAGGCAAGCGCCAGGCGGGGCTGAGCAAATCACATGGCGGACAGGGCAGCCTGGCCAAGCGACCTGGGAGGCGCCCCAAGGGGAGAAGCAGCCAGGTAGGAGGGGCCTTGCGCCAAGGGGGATCCTTTCGACCTTTCCCCTTGGCAGGCCATTGCCCCCAAGGGACCCTCCCTCAGCTGAGCCCTCGGGTCTCCCACTGCCTAAAGCAGCCCGGCCCAGCAGCCCAGCCAGCCCGTCTCAAGGGTGCCCTCTGGTGGCCAGATTGAGAAGAGCATGACGGGCATGCCAAAGGGCAGAGAAGCATCATTTCGGTTTTCCTTTGCAACTTCGGAGAAAAGAGGGGGACGCGCCTGCTTTTCTGGCCTTTGGAAAGGGGCCAGTTCTTTGCCCCCCCCCTGCCTGTTCTGGATGGGTGCGCAACAGGAAGGGTCAGGCAAAGCCCCCAGTGTACTGTTGTGGGGAGCCAGAAGCGCTGCCCCACCTCCACACGCATGCACGCACACACCGGCCTTCCCTGCTGCTGCTCGGTTGTTTGCCATTCCATAGGGCACCCGGAGCCAAGCAGGGTGCCCGGCAAGTGGCCGGGCTGAGTGAGGACCTCTAAGGAGAGCCAGCCTTCCCCCTCACCCAGCCTCCTGCCCAGAGCTCCAGTGGACGCTTCCGGCTGTGCAGCCAGCCAGCCAGCCCGAGGACTGACGCCAACCACAGGAAACCCACAGCTGGTGAGACTGCCAAGAAAAGCAAGTGACCCCCTGCCCCCCCCCCCATTGGTTCAGCGCAGCAGGGGGAGCAGAAGTGCTCCGTACTCTGCCTGGAGCTCCTGGGGAGAGCCAGGCGGGAAGCGCCTGGTCAACAAGTATTTGGGCGGCCAGGCAGCCTTTCGCCTTCCCCATGAACTCTCAGAGACACAGCGCTCTTCTCCCGGGCCTCCCCAGGCACATTAATTGTCCGTGGCATTAATTCTGACCTTCGTCCAGTACTGGGATGCAGCTAAAGCCCTGTGAGCAACCCCTCAACGCATCCCCAAAATGATTTCCAGGTCACAGAACCCTCTTCTCCCCTCCGCCCCCCCAGCATCATGCTAGACCAGCACTGTCCAGTAAGAGCCCATCCTTGGTTACCGTGTGCCCCCACCCCGAGTCGGGAGAGATTCCCCCTCGCCCTTTTGGGGTGGGGGCATTGTGGAAGCTGGAAAAGGGGGCTAAGGCCCCTTGTTCCCAGAGCCCCAGGGGTGTCCTGATGCTGGGAAGGAAGGAAGGGAAAGGGAGGGAGGAGGAAAGGAGCCCTCGGCCCTGGCTGTCCATCTCCCTTTTGTACTGGGAATGATAAAAGATGGCCTTAAAAGGCTGCAGCTGGTCCACAGCGCCTGTGACAGTGTGAGAAGGCAGCAGCTGAGCTGATGAGGGCAACAGGGAAGGCGGGAGGGCTCCAGTTACATGCCTGTTTCCATACTTAGCTTAGGAGGCAGCTGGGAGGCATCGCCCAGCCAGCAGAACCAAATTAACTCAAGGGCACCCAAGGGGAAGGCGTCGGATGCCACATAGTTCTGCCCAGGGGCCCCAAACAGGCAGTGGAAAACCCAGGTGGGAGGGGCAGCCCCGGGGCCCTTAAGACGGAGGGGATCCCGGGGGTAACAGGTCTCCAAGCGCAGAGGAGCAGGGTGTTCCCAGCATGGCACCTACAGACCTCCCGGCCTAGCTGTTCTTCCTCTGGCTCGCCCCCAGCCTCACCACTGCCCTCCCAAGGGGCCCCAGGGCTGCCACCCCCCACCCCCCCATGCTGCCTGCAATGGGCCTGGCAGGTTGGCCCTCCCCATGGGTTCTCAGCCTTCGGACAAGGGACCCTACCTGCCGCCCCGAGGAGCACAACGGGTGCCAGGCAGAAACAGAAGAGCCTCAGCGCTGCCATACTGGCTGCCAGGAACCTTCTGCCCTTCCTCCGCACTATTTATACCCGGGCAGGCTCTGGAGAAGCAGGTGGCCGCTTGGCCGCAGGGCCCACGCAGGCAATGGTGCCGGTGCCGGACTACTGGAGGCCCCTCCCCACCCGGTCTCTTCACCAACCTCCTCAGTCCCCCTTCAGAGGCAGCCACTAAGGGGGGAAGAGGAGGAGCGTTACGGCAGCTGCTGCCCAGGGCTGAGCCTGGAGCCAAGGTCCCAGAGGACGGGCAGTGTGTGTGTGTGTGTGTGTGCGCGCGCGTGTGCAGGGGGGGGGCAGGGACCAGCTCTTCCTGCCCACGGCGTCAGCAGGAGCAGCAGTCCAACCACACCATCCTGTCTTGGTACAGCATTCTAGGTGACTAGAATGGCCATGGAGGAGCTGGGTAGCCCCCCACGGCCTGCAAAATGCCTCAAAGGATGGCGGGGGGTGTATGAAGCTGGTAGCCATTCGGGGCAAGAAAAGCAAACTGGTGGGCACAAGACAGAGGGCACGGCTTTGGCACAAGAGACCTCGTCAAAGTGTGCCTGCAGGGGGCAGCATAATGCTGGATCTGGGCCCTAGCAAGCCCTGCCAAAAGGTTGCCAAGCAACCTGGGAAGACCAAGCTGCACCCAAGATTGAAGCCCAGGCGGTTTCTATGTTTCTGCTTTTGGCTGCCCCGCACCTCTGTAATCAGCCACCCGCAAACTCCCGGGGTGCTCCTGCCCGAGGGAAAGTGGGGAGGGATTAACTGACACCAGGGCCGCTGGATGCAACTGCGCTTTAGGCCAGGGGGACAAAATCCATCCTGCCCCCATCCTCTTGGTCCACCAAGGGGAGGGGCAAGCACAAGCTCCCTCTGCTGGGCACCACAGAAACTGCAGGCAAGGGAAGTGAAGGCAGGCCCTGGGAACTAAATTCCCGAACATTGAGAAGGGGAAGGAGACGAAGTGGTTCCTGGCCTGGGGACAGCAACCTTTGCTAACGGTCTGCAGTGCTTATAGAGGACCTTATTTTTCTTCTGGTATGCAGAGTTGAAGCCCCTCCCACAATTTCTGGCCTGTCCCCCAACTCAGCAAAACTAAACAAGACATAAAAAACAAAGTACAAACTTTATTTTGTTTCTTTACAAAGGCACAAGCCTCATTTTTCCACTTTCTTAACAAAATATAATAGCATCTCAATGAACACAAAGACCCAAAACTTGTAAAAAAAAGAACAAAAAAAAACCCATATAAAAATATGAAAGAACAAAAGAACAGCTGTGGCTGGGGGAACCTACCAAAAGCAACCAGCACGAAAAAGCCCTGGCCAAGATCTCAGGGGCGGGGGGAATGGGGGGGGAGCACAGAATGCAACGACAGCAACCGCCACAGAGCAGGACCGCTCTTCACGGACCTGGTCAACCCACGGAACGGATTTAAGTGCTTCCAAGAACGAAACCACCCAGGGGAGAGGCCGGGGTCAATGCTCTCTCCCAGGCTCTGAAAAGGCCCCAAGCCTGAACCAGCCCCGAGAATGGAGGGGCCCCAGGGGTCTCCCTGCACAAAGAGGTACATGAGGAGGACCAGTGAGGCAGAGACAACCCCAAGGCTACCACCGCCAGGCTTCTCCTGGAGCTTTCAGAAGGCCTCGCCCCCCCCCCCCCGCCCCCCGCCCCCCAGGACCAGCAGCAAGGCCGAAGAGGGGCCAGAGAAAACCCATCCGTTGAGCCAGGAGTCACGGACTACTGCCTAGCCGTGTCCAGGAAGAGCCCGACCCTCCCCCAGCTGCTTCAAGCTGGAGAGCCCGATGTCCAGCTTACCCCCGTCCTAACGCTCCTCTCACTTACAGTATTGGAAGGTCACAAAATAGACCCAAATGTTGTGGTATTTTGTAAAAATTTCAGCACATTTCCTGAAGTCCCCTCGCCCCCACCCTGCTCACCCTCCCGCTGCCAGGCAGAGGTCAGGGCATCCGGGCCTTGCTGTGTTCCATGGAATCGTCGTCCTCCGCCTCCAGGTCAGAGGCCGTGTCCGAGTTTGAGGGGTCCAGGCTGGCTCGGGCTGGGGTCACAATGACTGCCCCCCGGCGCTGCTCTTCCTCCTCCAGCAGCTGTTTTTCCTGAGTCCCCTCAATGTGCTGGATGGCCTGGGGGAAGATGGCACAGTAGATGCCAGTGGGCTCTCTGCCCAAGGACTGACCGGCAGCCTTCTGCTGGGCCCTTCCTGCCCCAAGATTGGCCGCCGGTTCCTTCGGGCAAGCCAAGGACCTTCTTGATGGACGTATCCGGCCCCCGTAGAGGCCAAGAGGATAGTGCCCATTTTTCTACCCAGCCTGGAGGAACCATCAGGGGCACAACGGTGTGCCAGGACTGGTCAGAACGAGGCTGCAAGGGCCTGGCCCTGAGCTGCCACTGGGACGAATGCCAGCTTCAAAGGGAATTTCCCCCAAGGCCTTCCTCTCAAGTGTAGCCAGGCCAGGAGGTGGGGTGCAACAAGGGCAATTTTCTCGGGAGCGCTGAAGCAGAGCTGCACACTGAGGTTGGTAGCTACTTGTGGGGGCATTTGCCAGGGCCTGTTCCATGCCCAGGGAGGGGCCCACTTCCCAGCCTCTCTGAGGGAGGCCAAGCTCCCCCCGCCTTTCTCCAGGTCAGGAACTGCTGCGTCCTGCGCTCACCTGAACGATCGTGTCCAGGTTCTGCCTGGACGTTGAGATAGTGTTGATCACTGAGGAGGGCCCCATGGTTACCACGGTGACATGGTGTGAAGGTGGAGGTGGTGCAGGCACAATCACCGTTGGGTGCTGGGTGGGTGCCGGAGGGCCGTGAGCAGGCAGGAGCTGGTGAAAGGAGAGAAAAACACCTGGCACACAGCACGCAACTGCAGGGCTCCCGTACCAGGACGCCCCCTGGGCCTGAGACAGAGACACGGGGGAGGCAGCGGTTGGAAGGCCCTTGGACAGCTCAGGCCCTGTCGTGCCCCGGTGGATTGGAGAGCCCTCTCATTCCAGCTTTTCTCCTCAACACCTGACCCCAACAGCCCTGAGCCACACCTGGAGCCCCAAGGATGAAGCCCCTCCTTCCCAGGGCCACAAAAATCTAGAAGCGTGTATCAGTGGATGGGGCAGAAGCCACCAAAGATGCTTCAGGACCAACAAGGTGGGTGCTCAACTCCTCAGGGCTTTTGGGCACAGCCATCTTATCTGGGCATCCCCACTTCGTTTTCCTCACCCAAGATACGCCACCCTCCCAAGGAGTATCTGCTGGGGACGGTTGGGGCAGCGCTGCGGTTTCCTGCTGTCCATGGCCCTGTTTGCAAAGGCCGGGAGGGGGACTGACTGGGGCCGTGCGCTACCAACGCTCTGCTGCTCAGGTGCTTCTGGGCACTGGAGCCTCACCTGTTCCTGCTGCTGGAGCTGCACCTGTTGGGCAATCACCTTCAACTTCTCCGGGTACAAGTGGGCCTCCAAAGAGCGTACCTATCAGCCAGCCAGAGAAAGGCCCGGTCACCCTCCCCAATGGGCAAGGGACGCTTGGGCACAGGAGGGCCCTCTGGCTACCCACCCTGGCCCGGTTTGCCCGCAGGGGCATTTGTTTGCTGGCGCACTGCCCAGAAAACACCCCCCCCCAGCTGCCTCCAGACCCGCAGGGCACACCTGCTCCTCCAGCATCATCCGGACCGAGCGCTCCTTATCCAGCTGCTGCCGGAGCTCGATCATCTCCCGGCGCAGGTCCTCAGCCTTCTCATCCTCCCAGATGTCCGGCGATCCGATGCCTTCGTCCTTGTCCTCTGCTCGCCGCCGCTTCGGGGAGGATCCGCTGAACTCCTGCCAAGAAGGCCCAGATTGAGGGGGGCTGTAGGGACCAGGGGGAAAAGGCCCCCCTCCCAGCCAAGGCCTCCCTGGGGCCCACCTGGATGAAGCGCTTGAGCTGAGCGTTCTGCTGCAGCAGCCGCGTCTTCTCCTGCTCCAGAGAAAAAATGTACTCCGCCGTCTGCTGCAGGATCGCTGCCTGACCAAGGAAGAGGCAAGTAGAGAACACCTGAGAGGGCGGACCTGGCACCCACCCCCCACCAGACAAGGCAGCCAGCCCCCTCATTCCCTGCTCAGCCAGCTTCCCTTGGGGAAACCCCTCCCGTGCTCTGCTCCCAGAGGCCCCCGCTTGCCATGGCTTTCAGCAGCTGGTTGCACCCCACTGTTCCCCAGGGAGCACCCCCCCCTTCTCTCCTTTCAGCTGCAGCATTCAACCTGCAGAGGCTCTCAGCACATCGCCCCCCCCCATTTTTTCCTAAGCGTGATGCCCTAAGGCCTTTGCTCCCCAGTCCTGGTGAGTAGGCCCCACCCGCCATCAGGGCCTGGCAGGGACTTGCTTGACCCCCTGCCGGCCCCACTACTGAGGCTTTGCAGCCACCTCCAATCAGTGAGGAGATTTAGCCTCTCACCTTGCTGAGCTTCTCCCCGTCTGTGTGTGGGATGAGTGTTTTTAGGGACTGAAACCCCGCATTGATGCTCTGCATGCGCCTTCGCTCGTTGCTGTTGGCGATCTCCCTGCGAATCCGTCGCTCCTGGTCCCTCTGTGTCTCTGGGGTCAGGGGGATGTTGGCCAGGCTGCAGCAGAGGAGCACGGTTAGAAATGGGTCCTCGAGGCTCCCCCAGCCAGTGGCCAGCCCTAGTGCCCAGCAGTGTGTTCTGGCCAGAGCCGCCTGCACCATAGCCTCTCCTGGCCACCCTCCCTCCCAAGGGGGGCTCCTTCGGATCCGTTCCTCATTGTAGCGCAGAGTCCACACCCACAGCACACCGGCCAAGTAGGGTGCACTCTGATGGCTACTTTGGAGATGCCCTGCAATCCAGGGAGGAGCAGGCCCCTCACTCAGGAAGGCACATGGAGCAGCTCTGCTTTCAGAGGGTTGACGGGCTCTCCACTGCTGGGGGAAAAGGGCAGCTCAAGCCTCGAACTGACGCACAGGCTCTTTGAAAGGGTGGGGTGCGCCCTTGCGTGCTGTCAGTCTGTTGTCCCGGTGGGGCTTTCAAAGAACCTCAACAGGGTGCTCTGCTTAAGCACCTTCCGATCCATTTTAATGTCCTTGACCGTTTCCAGGGCACGCTTGACACACACACACACACACACACACACACACACACACCCGCTCAGCTGCTAAAGTGTCTTTTGTGCTGTTCCATTTACCGGAGCCAGGCAGCAGCCCAAGTAAAACAGCATTTCCCCACTAAGGAAACCCACAGCGGGCCCAACGCGCCCCCAATTTCACCCACAACCATCCAGGCCAGAAGAAGGGAGCTGCCTCCTCCACCCCGCGCATCTCTGGGCTTTTGCACAACAGAAAAAGGGGGCCCGACTACTTGGTCGTTGGGTTCCGTCTCCCTCATCAACCCGGGCCTGCAGCCGCGGACCCCGGGGCACCTACCGCGCGCTTCCTCTGCCCGCGAGGAAGAGCCAGCGGGCACCATGGGGCCCTCACGGGAAAGGGTCGCCGCGCATGCCGGCGGGGATGGGAGGCTCCCGGCGAGCAGAAGCGGCCAAGAGCCGCTGCAAGACGGCCCGGATCGGGGTTCCTTCGGAGCGGCCCAGAGAGGCGCCCGCGGCCTGCCGGGCCCGCGCAGAGCCCCACGTGGAGGCCCAGCTGGCGGGGGGCGGGCACGCCGAGTGGGGCCGCTCCGCCGCGCCTGCTCTTCCCGCTCCGCCGGGCGGGCTGCAGCGCACAAAGAGCGGCGCCCCGGCCGGCACGTGCGGCGGCGGGCAGCCTTTGTGCGAGTCGGCGCGGCGTGGCCGGCCGAGCCCGGCACTACATGTCCCGGCAGCCCGCGGCGGCAAGGCCCGCCCCTTCGGAGGCTGCACAGTCACGGCCAGGCCCGGCCGCCGCGCTGCCAGTAAACACGCGGCGGGCTGGGAGAGGCCCGGCGGGGCGCGCGGACTCGCGGGGGCCGGGGGGAAGCGGGATCCGCCGCGCCCTTCCTCGCCCCGCCGCCCGCCCCCGCTCCCTCCGGGGCCGGCCGGGGCGGAACATCGCTGCCCGCCGCGCTCCGGAAAACAGACCCACGTGCTCGGCCGCCGCCGCCATCCCCGTCCCTCCCGCGCTCCACGGCGGGCCCGGCGCCGCAGCCCGCCCGCCCGGCGCGCGCACCCACCTGCACAGCCCGCCGATCACCTCCTTCTCGGTCTTCCTGAAGTGCTGCAGCGGGGGCACCTTCTGCGCGGGCACCACGAAGTACTCCATGCCCGGCCGGGATCGGGGCCGGCGCGGGGCGGCGGCGAGCGCGAGGGGCGGGCGGCGGGCGAGTACGCGTCCGCCGGTCCCGCGGTGCGTCTCCGGCTCTGGCCCTGCGCGTGTCTGCTCAAGGCGGGAAACAGCTGGGCGAGCGCAGCACTGCCTCCCTCCCGCCCGCCAGCCCGCCTCCCTCCCTCCGCCGGCGCCGCCTCCGCCAGCCACCGGCCCATGTAAACAAAGGGCGAATCGCCGCGGCTGCCGCGCCGCCCTCCCGCCTGCCACCCGAAGCAGCAGCAGCGCCAGCCGGCAGACCCGCCGAGGAAGGCCCGGCCCGAGTGCGGCGCTGACCGAGCGCTCGGAACTCGCAGCGAGCGGTCCGGGGCTTGGCCGCTTCCTTCCGCCTTGGGTCGGCGGCCCGGAGCCTCCTGCCGTCGGGGCTCTTGGCGGCGTGGAAGGGGCGAGGAACGGCCCCCAGTTGGGGAGACTGCGAGGGGGGCGAAGTGGCTGAGCCTTACCAAGGGCGGGAGGCGAGGGGGAAGAGCCCGGCCTCTCCCCGCTAGAAGCGTGGGGAGGCTTTGGTGCTCCCGGACTGACTTGGGAGCGGGCCTGGTTCAGCCGCTAAGGCTGTGGCCGAGGAGAAGCCGGGGCCTCTGTGGAAGCCTTACTTTGGCCAAGTAGGGATGCTGGGATTTGTACTCCGACACAGCTGACTGGATATGGACAAAGGTCTGCCTTGACTGGAACTTTCAATAGGGGCCAATTTCCCTGCAACTTATTCAAACAACCAGTTTAAGGAGCAGGCCAGGCCAAGCCCCACCAATGGCATTGTGCAGAGCAAACCAAGCCCTGGAGTAGCACCCAAGCTCTGTCCTAGGCCAGCCACAGGCAAGGGCTGGAGAAGCCTGGCTACTCTGCCAGCTTGCTGGTGGCTGGCCCTTGATGTACCAGGCAATGCCTACCCTGGGCCCGTCCTTCTTGCTGAAGGATTGCCTGGGCCTCTTCTCATGGGCTTCTTAGGCTTGGCGGTCTTGTGGCCACGCCACAACGGTGGATATAGCTGGGCACAGGGGTCCCACTTGACCAACTGCTATGGTGTGCTACTGATCAGCCTTCCACTGCCACCTCCCTCTCCCTCCACCTGTGAAGTGACCAGACACCTGGTCAGGCTCCCACAAAACACTAAGCCAAAGTGAATTAAGGTTCCTTCTAGCTTGTACGACCCAGCACCTCAGTTAACATTTACACAATCAGCTAACCAAGGTGAACTATGTCAGTGCTGTGGAAAGACATAGCCCACCAACTCCCACCATTCTGGGTGGTGTCATGCCATATGCCCTGTCCAATTGGAGAATGCAAAGCAAAGTCCAAGTGTCAACATTATGGCTGGATGCAGTTTTAAGCTTAGTGCCGGCCTGGGGAGGACACCCAGCCCATGCAAGCAGAAGAGGGTGGTCTTGGTCACTCGAAAAGCCGATGGGGGAACGGACTCTGGGCAGCAATGGTGCCTCTTTGTTCCTGAAGTGCTTGTCCAGGGAAGATACAGCAAGGAAGGGAAGGCTGGGCTATGGGGAGATGAACCTGCGCCTGGAGTTCTCTTGGGTCCAGTCTGAGCCCGTGGGCAACAGCCATAGCATTGGATCTAGCCATGGCAACATATGCTCAAGTAACCGGGTTAGTCCCTGTGGCAGAATCTGAACCCTTAGCTGTAGTCAAGACAGTTGGTGCAGTGGGGTTACACTCTGCTAGCCAAAACCAAAGAACTCATGGATAGCATGCTGAGAATCAGGCTGGAAGGTTGGGAAGTCAAAGGATAGCTCCTTCCACACCTTTGAACTGAACCAGCTTGACAAAATTCCTATTTTGCATGTTTATAGTTCCCAAGAGTGAAGAGTCTGATTTTCCTTTTGACGTCTCCTCTTCGCCCCATAGAAAGGGATGCCAGAACAGGACAAACATTACTGCCCCAATCCTGCCAAGGGGCTTGCTGGTAGCTCAGCTGAGCGCATCCCTAGCCTGGCAATCATCAACACGAGATGCGGTTCCTGGCTTATTTACCACACAATCTTCTCCAGATCTATAGGGTGACTGCAGTTTTTCTTACAGCCAGCCGATCTCTCTGCTGAAATCAGGTCTGGGTCTCACTGCCAGGACCTTGCTTTTCTTCCTTTCCAAACTGGAGTAAAAGAACAGGCCAAAGATGCCCTGAATGCAAACAAAGGGCCCACAGCTAAGGGTACCACGACCAGCAGCATAGAACCAGGTGTCCCAGAGGGCAGAAGTCCAGCAGGGTAGCTGGACGATAGATTGCCGAGGGCCAAGATGCCTCTGAGACAAGCGAAAGGCCTCTTATGCAAGAGGGAGACAGGATGGGCAACCCTCCAGCCTGCTCAAGGTGTCTGGGCTCCAACTTGATTACCCGATTCCAGGGGGCCCTCCCAATGTGGATTTGGAGGCAGACTTTTCTCTGGGGCCCATCACCCACCCTCTGGCCCAGAGCCTTTCGGTTCCCTGCAGTGAGGAGCAATAGAAAGCTTGTCTTTGTTAGAGGCCGAATGTCCCGAAACGAATTGGAGGAGTGAACCACTTGGGGAAATGCTCGGTGCCCCCTCACCATCTAAGTGCTGTGACTGAGGAGGGTCTGCACCACAGCCAGAGGTCCTCCCCCTTGTGGCTAAGAGGATACAGCACAGCCATCCAGTTTCAGAGTTTATTTGCTTTCTCCCATTTTAAATTGACCCGGATCCAAAGTTCTCTTTCTATATGACAGAAATCACAAACATAAAATACAAGGTGCCAGAAAGGCAAAGCAGGATAAACCAGATAGAATCATCACAGGCACATAAGAACAATTCCAGCAACAAAAGGAAAAAGTGCAAAGGATTCGATTCAGTTCCTGAATTACTTGAGTGAGTAAAGCCTTCCTCTTGGAGGTGCTGAAAAAGCTGGAGTCCTTCCCTGCCCTGGCACAGCTCAGCTGGAAATGGGTCTTAAGTGCCACCTTTCAGCCTTCCATAGAGCTGTTTGATCTGGGCTGATGGCAAAGCACCAGGCGTTACCAGCAATCCCCTGACCACCATCGTTTCCCCCCCACCCCCCCAAATGAGCAGCTTGTGCTGGGCAAAGGCAGACACAGACATAAGCACTGAAATAATTTAAATGGAAGGCCGTCAATTCCAACCCAGTGTCAGATTAATCAATTTCAACTCTTCCCACACAAACACCCTGAAACATGATGGCTCAATTGTTAGGGGGGGGGGGTATCTGGGATGCTTTCCCCAAGCAGTGGCCTCTAGTTGTGTTGATTGGATCAGGCCCCAAAGATAACCCGAGCATGGTAATCAGGTGATTTTAAGTCCCCGCTGCCAGAATGTATTGCCAAGTTGTTGTGAAGACCAGCCAGAAGAATCCTGCGCCAGATTCTAAACCTCCATGGCAAAAGGTCTGTGCACTGAAATAGAAATGGCAGGGGACAGGTACAGCGTTTGCTGCTTATTGGGAAGCCCATTGAAGAAGCCGCGTTCAGAGGTGCTGAGGTCACTGAGGTCAGGCTTAGCTGTCCTCTGGTGGCAGGAGGGGTACATGACTCACCGTGAAACCCCCAGCAGATGCTCCAAAATGGGGAAGTTCTGTGCCTCCAATTCTGCATAGGTGCCTAGTCTCTGAAGAGGGGCCCTGGGGGGCACCAGGAGAAGGGCTGTGGCATTGGGGGAACTTCTCCATCCGGACTAGAGAGCAGCCTTAGGCCTTGGGACTGCTGCCAGGCCAGGCCGCTCCCTGCCAAAGAGGAGGACGGGCCGGGAGCTTTCCCCAAGGGCGGCCAGTCCCAGCGGCCATCTGGCATCCCCTCCTTCGGCCAGGGAAGACGGTGCCCGAGGCAGCCCGAGGGGCGCGGATCGGTGGCCCAGGCTGAGGAGCGACGGGACGGGCAGAGATCTGAGCGCCTTCTGCTCTCACAAGGGGCCGCCGAGGGGCCCGGCAGAAGGAGAGCAAAGGGAGAAAGCGGCTTTTGCGGAGCCCCAGCTGGCCGCCTTTGCCGAAGGAGGCCGCATAGCGACCGGAAGCTTCGGGACGCCAGCCAGCTGCTGTCCGCCTTTAACGGATCGGGCGAGCCCAAGGCGGAGGAAGGAGGGCGCCAAGGCCGCCCCGATGCGAAAAAGCTCGGGGATCTCGCTGCCGGTGTCGCAGCATCTCAGGCCCGGAGCGAATGGCCGCCCCGACTAGCCTGCTGCCCGGCAGAGCCGCCCCAAAGAGCTTCAGCCGTGGCCTGCAAGGGCGTCCCGCTCCGCCCACCCTATCTGGGCGGACTGGCGCCGCCTCCACCCCCGGAAGGAGCCGCGCCGCCGGGCTGGCCCTGCGTTTCTGGGCGGAGGGGCCCGAAGTCCGGGCCCGCTTAGGCGACGGGGCGGGGAGGGCAGCAGGTTCCCTCCTCGGCAGGCGGCGCAGGCGGACGCGAGGGGGAAGCCCCGGCCGGCCTGCGCCCGAGGTTGAAGGAGGCAAATTCCCAGAGCGGACCCGGCCGTCGCCCTTTGCCTTCCGCGGCCTGCCCGCCAGCCCAGAGAGGCAGCGGGCCGGATGTGACCCGTAGGAAGCCGGCGAGGAGAGTGCTGAGCGCGACGGCTGCTCGGGCCGGCGGCCTATCGGCCGTGTCATCCCGGCCTGTCCCGGCTCTTCCCTGCCGGCGGAAGAGGCAGGCTGGCGCGCTGCCCCCCTTCCGCCCCCTCGGAGGGCGCGGGGCCAGCCTGGTTCTTCCGCCGATCCGCAGCCGGAGGTTGTCGGTCAGGACAAGGGGAAGGGGCCGCCCTCCCGCCCCTCCTCCCGCCCCTCTCCTCCAGCAGGCGCCGCCTCCTCCTCCATCCGCGCGGGACTCGCCCCCCTCCCCGCTCGCGTCCCAGAGCGGGGGGAGGGGAGCCGGAGAGACCCTCCCCTTTGCCGCCGCCGCCGCCGGCGCCCTCGCTCGCTCGCTCGCGCGCGCGCGCGGCATCTTCTCCGCCCGCCCGCCCGCCCTGCCGAGGCGCAGATGTGGCGCTGCGGCCGTGCGCCCCATCGGTGCCGGTGGGGGTGGCCGAGGCGGAGCGGCGAGGCGCCCCCCGGAGGTCGCTCCCACAGGTGAAAGCCTGCCAGGCGCCCGCAGAGGGCAGCCCCAGCGCCGCTCCCGAACCCCGCCGCCCGGCCGCCTCGCCACCGGGGACGCGCACAAAGCCGCGCCGAGACGCCTCCCTCCCTTCCGCCACCCGGCCAGCGCCAAGGTAAGGCGACGGGGGCGGTCGGGGAGGGAGGGGGCGCCTTTGGAGACCGGCGGGGGAGGGGGGGGGCGATGGATCGGACCCAGATGGGGGAGGCCGTCGCGACGGCAAAACATGCCTGCCCTTTGCTGGAAGCCATTATCCCTCCGGCCGCTGCCCGCCGCCCCTTCGCTGCCTCGGCGGTTGAGAGCGCGACGCCCCCGCCCCGCGCCTTGCCTGGGGTTTCGCTCCCCCGACCGCGATAGGCGGCGCCCTCTGCCCGAGCAAAGCCCCTCCGGGCTCGAAATGACCCTTCCAGATCAGCCTAAGGGGTGGGGGGGGAAGGGAGGAGAAACCGCGGGGCCGGGGACGCGGGTAGCCCTTCTTCGAAGATCCTTTGGGACCGGCGGCGGGGATCCCCTTCCTGCTCTGCTCCAGCTGCCGGCCGCATATCCTCCAGCTCAAAGCGGGTTTCCAGGGCACAACCCGTCGGGGGACGGCATCTTCTGGTCGGGTGGGAAGGACCAAGGCCTGGGAGTGTGGGGTCTGAACAAGTGGGGTGGGTCTGTGGTTTGTTGGGGAGCCAGGAGGAGCAGGAATGTCCTTGCAAGACATCCTGCCCCTCCCTGCGGACAGCCACCCAGGCATGCCATAGCCGCAAAGTCCCAGCAGACAGCAGGAAAACCTGGATGTGGCCACTGCACTCTGTGCTGCTCCCCCCCCCCCCCAAAGCTCCTTTGGGAGTTGTAGCCCAGAAGAGGAGGAGGCGCCAGAGACAGCCATTGGCCACACTGGACACAGGGGGTACTCTGGCTAGAAGGCGAGCGGCTTTCCCAGAGTGGGAGGTGGGCTTGACCTTGTCTCCCCTTCCCTTTCCAGTTGATGCCCTTCCCAGCTTCACTGAGCAGGGGGCTGCAGGGGTGACCCCCCCCCCAGCCCTGAGACCGTCCTGCCCATTGAGACCCGCTCTTTTGAGGAGCGGGGGCTTTCCTGAAACTGCCCCGCCTGTCTCTATGGCTCACCCGCCCTTCAGCCTGGCCACCCTCCCTTTCCTTGGCAATGAACTTCCCCGCTCAGCCAGGGCTGACCTCTTGCCCACTGTCTGTGCTTGAATGGGTCCTGCAGCCAGAAGCAGCAGCTTGGGGGGGGGGGCGGAGGGGGAGCAGGTTGCTCCTGGGGGAGACAGTCTGGCTGAGATACAGGCAGGGCAACCTAGGGGCCTCAAGAACCCCCCTTTCTCATCGTGCTGGAGACCCTCAATGGCTGAAACTGGCAGGGCTTGATTGTCTCCCCTGCCTCGACAGTCTTCCTGCTGTTGGAGGCCCCCTTGCTGTGTAGCCTGGGGCCTCTGGGTGATTCTCAGGATCCAGCTCTCAGCCGCATTTCTCTAAAACTATTTAAGGGGCTAGCCGGGAGCATCCTTGGGGCACTGGTCAGCGCAGGGTTGTGTGTCCAGCTGCCTCTGATTTCCAGAAGTGTCAGGAGGGAGAAAAAGGCTGCCACCCATCTCGCCAGACTGCCAGGGCAGGGAGCTGCAAGGGCCATTCCCACAAGAAGAGCCCTCCCAGGACTGTCCTCGCTCAACGGCTTGGGGCATGCTGGTCTCCTTCCCACTTTCCCCCTGCACCCCCTCCCTTTTGGCTGAATTTGCATTACAGCAGACCTCTAGTGGCTGGCAGCTGCCCAGGTGAACTGGTCACCCAGGGTGCCATCCGCGTCTTGCATCCAAGGAGGCAGGGCTGTGTGGGTAGACAGAGGTGGGTGAGGGCAGATGTTGTGGCCTGGTGAGATAGGCAGGAAAGGAGTTGCTCTCACTGGAAGGGGGGTGAGCTGGCCACTGAGCCGATGGGGTGCTGCAAACTGAATGGATCCCTGCCCCATCCAGGCACTATCCATAGCTGCTTTCTGGGGTGCTTGACAGCCCAGTTGCCTCGAATCCCACCGGTGCCTTCCCCAAGTATGGTGCTTTCCCAGGCCTCTCCATCCTGGGGCAGGCTTCAGCCAGCTTTGTGGGGTGAACCTGGGCCTCTACACATCTGAGAAGATGGGGCTGTGCTGGACAGACCGGGAGGGCCTGCTAGGTGCCCGGATCACAGCCAGGCAGCCCAGAACAGGCGGGGCCCCAGTCAAGGAGTTCCTGGAGCCGAGTGGGAGGAAAGTGACTCCTAGGTGGGCCAGCTGGACAGAGCCTCCTCTGACTTCCTGCCAGGGGTGGGGGCATGTTTGGAGGGACCTCCGGAGACTCCCAGCCAGAAGTCCCGCCAGTGCCCACCCTCCCTGCATCCCTACTAGATGGGCTTTGGGTGTTTAATTCAACTTAGTAAGTGCTGTGGGTTTGTGCTGATTTTGTTTATCACGAGTGCTGATGTTTTAGTTCTGTTTCATGGAGGGGAAGAACAGATAATTTGATGGATGTTGCAGGTATTTTATTATAGGTGCCCGGTGTTATCTTTTGCTGGTAAAATAAGATAAATATCATGAATAAATAAAAAGGAATACACCCTGGTGTACGTATTTATTCCAAAGGTTTAATGAGCTGTAATCAACTGAGCTGTTAGGTTATTGGTGGCCCCATTAGCTCCTGATATACATCTGAGGGTTTGGAGAGTAGAAAAGGCAGATCCATCTCTTTACCGGAAAGTTGAGGACCAGTGGCTTGTGATTTGGCTAAACTGTGTGGCTGCTTCTCCATATGGTCCTGAGCCTTGAGCCGCTCAGCAAAGAGGCGATCTGGGGGATTTGGCTGGGGACCACTACAGCCTGGCTGGCACTCTGTCCACTGGATTTTAGCCGGCCTTCCTCACCAGAGAGGTGGCTGAGTAGGGGGTCTCCTTCAGGCTGATGCGGTCTGAGTCAGGCAACTGCTCTTCCCCTGCCAGCGGTGCAGTCCTGAACAACGAGAGTGCCTGGAAGACCCCTCCGGAGTGCCAGTCCTGGAGAGGTGCCTGAGAGAGCTGCCTCTGGGTTCTTGGCCGCTTCCTGACCACATCCAGTCCTTGCCTGGCTGTCGTCAATATGAGTCAGTACAGGAGGGAAGTGGTGAGGTGGGTCTGCCAGGGATGAAGGAACAGGGAGCTGTGCCCAGGCATGGAGTGGGTGGGGGCAGCTCTGGCCTGAATGCCCAGCCGTCCCGCCTCCCTCTGAAGGGTCCAAGTCCCAAGAGAACAGCTGGGGAGGGTCTTGCCAGCAGGACAGCTTCTGTCCATCTGCCAGGCTTGGCTTGGACGCTCCTTGTTGTCCTCCCCCCAGCATCCTCTGTTGGCCAACACTGGAGGGACATTAGGTGCCTCTGCACATCTGTGGAAGGAGGCCTGCTGGCCCCTCCTGGAAGTGGCTCCCTCGGTCGACTTCCTTTGGATTCTGGGAAGGCTTGTTCCCAGGAATGTTCTGTTCTGGGGCCAGTTTGGTTTGGCAGCTGCTGCTGCTGCCTCGCAGGGCGGGGGAGCTGCTTCCCATCCAGTGTCCCACCCAGCCCAGCTCCTGGGAGCAGCTCAGGAATCCAGCGCGAGGCCGCTGGAATATGGTGGCGGAGTAGGGGGGGGGAGCCAGACTCCGTGGAGGCAGGAGGCTGCTCTGCACAGCAGGCACAGCAGCTCCTCCTCTGGCACTCCATGCCCTCTGCCTGGGAAATGGTGCCCACATCCTGAGCCACCACGCTGGGGCCTCCCCCTGACTGCCTGTGCCCTGATCTGCTGCCACTAAAACCTCCTGGAGACCTGATGCAAATCCTTGCTGCGTGGATCTGGCAGCAGGAGACGGAAGGCCCCTGGCCATGCGCTTGGCTTCTGGTGCCTGCCAGGACTTGGTTGAAGCCAGCCAGAGGTTCTTCTGCCAGGGGGCCGCTGGCACGGGAGAGCCTCTGGGGCAGGCAGGACTCTGTTCAGGCATTCCTCCTGGGGGCAAAGGGGCCTCTCCGTGTGGAAGAGGATCAGTGCTGGGGAGGTGGACAAGGGCTCCCCTGAACTACGTCTGCCCTGTTGTGGCCGGCATCTTGAATGGGGGGGTGGGTGTCTGATCTTTCCCAGCTGCTTTGTCTCTGCTCTGGGCACACTCGCTCGTGAGCCCTTTGCACCAGGTGTGGGGTGTGGCTGCGTCAGGGTAGGGCCTGGGTTAAGCCAGGGCTTCCTCTGGGAGAGGCCCACAGTGGGGCCTGACACCTGCATTCACCCCTCCAGCTGCTCTGCGGGGCTAGGCTGCACCTCCTTTGTCACCGCCCTCCCCCCTTCTCCCAGTCCCAGGAAGAGGGTGGGGTGTAGATGGTGCTAGAAGCGCCCCCTCCCCACTGGGCCTCAGGCTGGCCCGGAGTGCAGAGCGGGTCTGGGGGGGGCGGGGTTGCAAAGATCTTTGCCCCTCTCTCAAATGCGCGGATTCCCCCCTCCCCCGTCTCTGCATTGCAGACTCAGCGCTGGCCTCGCCGGGGTGCTTCTCCCTCCGCCTGTCCGCCCTCCCCCCCCCACTTCCAGGGAGGGGCCTGCGCATTCCAGCGTGTCTGAGCCGCAGCCCGGCCGGGCCCAGCGCCAAGGCCGGCGGGGAGGGCGAGCAGGAGCTGGCCTGCGCCATCCGGGTCGGGTGAGTTCGCAGGTGCCGCCCAGAGCCGGGCGGGGGGCGCGGCATGCCAGGCCCACGGAAAGCGCCGGAGGGGGGGCGGGGGGGGGAGTTCGCTGCCCGCCCGACGGCTTTGCCGGAGAGGGAAGGCAGGCTACCCCTTCCTGCGCCAGGCCTGCCCTCGGATGCGGCTGCGACAGACGGCGCGGGCGCTGCTGGCGGCCGGGGGTGCGGAGGGGGCCCGGCCGGAGGAAAAGCAACAGCCACGGCCTCGGGCGGAACCGCCTCCAAGGAGCGTTGGCAGGTCAGGCAGGCGAGCAGCGGTTGCGCCTCTGAGCATGGGCAGAGTGTCAGAAGCGGCGCTGCCGGCGGGGCTCGAGTGCGGAGGCCGGCCGGGCGAGTGGGAGGAAGGGGGAGGCACGTGTCAGCAGGCGGCCCGCTTGGCTCGCCGGGCGGCCGCGGATGCTGCGCCGTGCTGATCCCCGGGCCGTCCGGGCGCCGCTTAAGGCAGCCGAGCTGCGCGGAGGGGGCCGCATAGGGGGCGAGGGCTGGCTGGGCAGCAACGGCCCGCGAGAGCCTAGCAGCCTTTCGCTCCCCTGCCCAAACGCCCAAGAGCAACTGGCGTTGCCCCCCTGCAAGAGAAGCCCGCCCGCCCCCCCCTCAAGAAGTGGGTGCTCTGACTTCACCCGGGCCGCTTGGAAACGGCTTTAGCCAGCCTCGGGGCTCCTTCCCAATTCCCAAGGTGTCGCATTGTGCCCGGCTCCCCACCTTGGCCGCCCGCTGGCTGCATTTTGCCTGGGGTGGGTGGGTTCGGGAGGCCTTGCTGCTGCCCTTTCCCCAGCCTGGGCCAGGAAGCGCCCCCCCTCCCCTCCCCAGCTCCACTGCCTGCAGGCAAGAACTAGAAGCAGCTGTTTGCAATTGGAAGGCCTTCCTGTGGGGGAGGGGGTGCTGGCACCCACAAAGTGAAAGCCCGATGGGAGGGAGGGTAGCCCGATGGGCTTGCTTTTGCAACCCCCCCCAATTGTGCCCCATTGGTTGGTGAAGCAGCAGGGGGGCAGGGGTCAAGCAGCTGAGTGATTGCTGGCCCCCTCGGACCCTTCCCTGTGGAAAGGAGGCGGCTGCCCAGGCCAGCCGCCTCCTGCACCCCCAGAAGTAGTAAGCATTGAGGGTCAAACCTCCTGCTGGATTCTCCATACAGCAGCTTTGGGGCTGGTGGGGCCAGAGGATCCATTGGGGAAGCAGCACAGGCTGGCATCCCTTCCTTTCCGATTCTCACACAGGACGACAGAAGACCCCCCCACCCCACCCCGAGTCCCCCCAGCTGACCAGAGCAGCCTGCTCCCTCGCTGCTGGCCCCCCATGCATTCCTTGGAGGAGCCCCTGGACCTCAAGCTGAGTGTCTCCAAACTCCCAGCCGCGCAAGAGAAGCATGACTGGGCCCTGGGCAGCCGCAAGGGCCGAGCTCTGTGCCAGACCTCAGAAGACGCAGGCTACCTGGAAGCAGGCCCGGGCTCCCCTCCGGAGGGTGAGTAGCAGGCTGGGAAGGGGGGGCTGGGCTGCTCCCTCGCTGGTGGGCAAGGAGTGCCCCATTTGCTGATCCTGATCCACCTTTGCCCCCTCCAGGCCTCCAGCCGCACCCCCAACGCCAAGACAAGAGAGACCATCGGTTCTCCTCGCCTCCTACCGTTGACCTGAGCCTGTCTCCTTCTCCACCAGGCCGGGACACCCTCCCCAGCGGCAGCACATCCACCTCCGCAGACAGGCAGAGCAACGGAGGGTTGGTAAACTGCGCCAGCTTGCGTGTAAGTGTGGGGATGGGGTGTGTGTGCAACAGGGCATTCCAACTCCCGAGGGGAGCTCACAAAGGCCAGGTGTGCCAGAGCTTTTCTGAATCTCCCTCAAGGCCTGAAGTAGTGACAGGCTCTGTGCTGTGGAGGTCTCTGCTGCCCCCCCACCCCCATGGCTTTCAAGGGGACGTCGTGTCTAATGGCCACTGGCGCTCCTGAGCAAGATGGGCAGGGGGAGCAAGCAGAGGGACTCCCCCTGGCCTGGCCACCCCCAGCATCTTTTTTGAGCCGCCGAATCTGCTTCCAGCTCTTCCCGAGGTTTTCCCCTCCGTTGCCAAGCCTGGGAAGGGGCCTCTGCCCTAGGCAGAACAGACATCCCCACTCATTATGGGGGTGTGTGTGTGTGGGGGAATGGGCTGCCACCAACTGCCCCTCCTGCCTCTCCCAGGACCTGCAGTCCCTGCGCTACCTTGAGAGTCTCCGCAGCTCCTTTCAGTTCTTCCTGCCTCTGAATGCGGGAGGGTCCCTGCACCTGCCTGCCTCCGCTTTCCTGGCGCCCCCCAAGGAGAAGCGGCTCCCTTTGGATACGGCTGTGCAGAAGCAGCTGGTGTGCCGCTGGTCAAAGGTGAGCAGAGTCTCCTTTCAAACCTGCCTCTGCCACGCCGGGGTGCTGTGCTTCTCCAGTGACCCCCAGGCCTTGCTCTCCCCCCCCCCAGTGCAACCAGCTGTTTGAGCTCCTGCAAGACCTGGTGGACCACGTCAACGACTTCCACGTGAAGCCAGAAAAGGATGCTGGCTATCGTTGCCACTGGGAGGGTTGTGCCCGCCACGGCCGGGGCTTCAATGCCAGGTAACTTTCCGTGCTGCTGGGAAGGGGTGGGGCAGCTGTGGCTCACCAACCGCAATGCTCCAGTGAGCATGAAATGTCTGCGGAAGGCTGCTCTGGTCACGCTTGCGCACGGCCATTTTGTTGCTCTCCCGGCCACAGCCACAACTTGCCCAAGCCATCCCTCCTGCCAGCCGACAGCAGGAAGCCCGGCCTGGGTCTTTGGAAGCCCCGCCAGCTGCTGAGGTGCTGGGGCACTGGAAAGCCCCCCCTTGCGAGTGGCTTTTGCTCTGCAGGTACAAGATGCTGATTCACATCCGCACACACACCAATGAGAAACCCCACCGCTGCCCCACCTGCAACAAGAGCTTCTCCCGGCTAGAGAACCTGAAGATCCACAACCGCTCTCACACAGGTGAGTCTGACTGGGGCTTGACCCTCCCCCATCAGCACGGCTTCCCTCCAGACCGGCCAGCCCCCCAGATGTTTTCTCCCGATCCAATCTGCCCCAGACCGGTCCTGCAGAGGGCAGTGGGATAGCCTGGGGGTCGGGGCCCTCCCTTGACCCTCCCAAAGTCCCCCCTCCCTCCTCCCTGAAGCAGCCTGCTCCACCCTCTTCCTGCAGGGGAGAAGCCTTACCTCTGCCCCTACGAAGGCTGCAGCAAGCGCTACTCCAACTCCAGCGACCGCTTCAAGCACACCCGCACTCACTACGTGGACAAGCCCTACCACTGCAAGATGCCCGGCTGCCACAAGCGCTACACCGACCCCAGCTCTCTCCGCAAGCACATCAAGGCCCACGGGCACTTCATCACCCGCGAGCAGCAGGAGCTGCTGAAGCTGCAGCCCCCCAAGGCCCCCCCCCTCATGGCCGACGCATCGTACCTCGGCGGGGCACAGATCATTGTGCCTAACCCGGCCGCCCTCTTTGGCAGCCACAGCCTGCCCCTGCCCCTCCCCCAGGGCCCCTTGGACCTCAGCACCTTAGCCTGTGGTGGGCTGGGCACGGCCGCCATCGCAGGCCTGCCCAGCCCCACGCTTGCCCCTTTGAACTTGGCCAAGAACCCCCTGCTGGCCTCCCCTTTCTCAGTGGGCCACCTGGGGCTGCCAGTGGTGTCCTTGCTGGCTGGCACCTCTGCCAAGGCGGCTGTTGAGCGAGGGCAGGAGAGCAGGGCCCGGCCCTTCAAAGGCGACATTGGCGGCAGCAGCAGCCGATGCAAGGAGACCAGTGAGAGAGTGAAACTGGCCAGGCTGCGGACAACCACGGACAGCCTCTCTCTGCTCCCCGGGGGCGTCCTGGACCTGTCCACTGGCATGAACTCAGGGGCAGCTGCTGACACTCTGCCACCGGGCTGGATGGTGATCCCACCTGGCTCCGTTTTGCTGAAAGAAGCTGTGGTGAGCTAAGTAGGGAAAAGCAAGGAGGAGGACTGGAAGGGGACCTTCCGGCATTCAGTCGGAGGGAGCGATCCAAGACTCCTTGTGAGGAAGACCTGCTGAGCTGCTCCTGGGACTCTTCCCTTCTGCCCGCATCCCACTTCTTCCTCCCCCTCTACATGGCGACTGGGGCTTTTCAAGGGGGAGGGGGGGCATCTCTGAGCAAAGCAATAAGAAGCTTCCCAGGGCAGCAGCCAGGGACTCTGCCAGGCAGGGCCGACCCAGGAGTGCCAATGGACGAAACAGAGCTGGTTGGTTCATCCCCAGCAAGATCTCCTCGACCCAGACCCCCTTTTCCCAGCTGGGCTTCAGCTCAAGCAACGCTGGGGGAGCCCACTTGAAGAATCCTCTGCCCACAGCCGCCGCCGCCTTCTTTTGGCCCCTTTGGTGCTGGCAGCAGCAGCAGCAGCCACGCTGCAGGCCTCGCCGTGCCCAGTTTGTTCCTATCTGCCTTTGGGGTGCTTCCCCTGCCCCCCTCCTCCCCCCATTTTTCCCTCTGGAGCCCAGCAGTGCCACCCTGTGGCTCAGAGGCCTTTTCCTCCCCCTTTTGCCTGCTGTTCAGAAACCAATGCTGGAAGAGCTGCTACGGGCTGCCTCCCTCCCTCCCTCCAGCCCAGGGCTTCTGCCTGGTTCAGGCCTCTCTGACAAGGCACACCGTGGTGTGTGCTGCTGATGAGACTGTTCCCTGACGCGGAGGAATTCCCTCTATGAGCAGTTTCTTATGTTAAAGCTGTGCAACCCCCTTCCAGGGGCAGTGAGGATGGGAGGACGGCAAAGCATCCCCGGATGAAGGTTCAGTCTGTGCAGAGTCCTGGGCTGCTCCTGCCCTCCTCTTCATTTGGAGGGGGGGAGGGAGCATTCCTTGCTTTTAGGAAAGCAGAGCACTGCGCAAGCTGGCACCTTTGATGCAGATTCAAGATGACCTGCTACATTTCCAGCAGGAAGCCATAAACTTGTCAAGCCTGGCCAGGAGATAGCTGGCACCCAGGGACGGGTGGGAAAAACATCCCGTTTTCCCTAAAAACAGGTCCTTCTGCCAGCTGTACCAGCTTCAGGAGCCCAGCAGAAGAGCAGCGTTTGCTCTGCACCCCTCACCCACCCCTTGGCTCCTCCTGCAGCAGCCCAGGTTACCTCTTGACTGCCCTCCTTGTATTGGTGGGTCACTCTGTTTCCAAACGCCTTTCCTAGACAAGGGCATCTCTGGGTAGCTCCCAATAAATCCCCCTCAAGGGACCTGCAACTGTCCCTCTGCCATCTACATACCACCCTTGCACAGCCCCGGCAGACAATTCCTGGCAGGCCTTCAGTGGTCCACATAGTGCCAGGGATCCAGAACGGCCGGGCAGGGGAGCTGGACTCCCAAGCACATGCATGCCTGCTCTGGGGCTCCCACTCAGAGCATCCCACTGGGCAAACCGGCCTCAGAGTTGATGCACGCAGGCTGCCAGTGTTTCCCTGTTTCTAAGTGCCTTTTGATTGTAGGTTATGCTGGGGGTGATGCCCTCCTCTTGCCTCTGTTATGTTAGCATAGTTTTAAGAGAGAAAAAGATAAGCTATAACTTGACCCACTTGGTCCTCCAGAAGAGAGGATGATTATGACAAGAACAATAAAGTACACAAAAAAGCCTTGCTCGCTGCTGGTGATGTCTGTGTCTAGGGACGGGGGGCGTTCGGAGAAAAGGGGGCTTCATGTACTCTCCTGCCCATTTAAGCTGTGATGCCACAGCAAAACCCAAGCTATCCACTTCTGGCTCGGTCATGTGCAGCCCATAGCAGCAGAGCTCTGCTAATCAGACTAAGGCAAGGCCCCATAAGCAGCTGGTCAGGTGCCTGGCCTACCTGGGAGAACAGGTCATGCTTGGACAGTCAATCATAACGTCCCCCTTTGAGAGGCGAGTCTTAACTGAAATGCCACCAGGGACGTTCTGCAGGGAGGCAGGCTGGCTCCCTGGCTTCTCACCGCAAGAGGGGCAAGCATGCTTTTTCCTCTGGGCTTGAGGAAGCAGCTATTAGGGGAGCTGTGTAGAAAAAGAGGGCAAACCAGCCTTGCCATCTTATAACCTCGGCAACTGAGCTGGGGTGGGAATCTGAAACCTCCTTTCGTTGAAGACAATACAAGACCAGCTACGCAAGGGGTATTTATTGCTAGCTATAATTTAGATGGGACACCAGTGCAAGAGAGCGGGTGTGCTACGTGCCTGGCTTGTGTGGCGAGTCTTGTTCCCTCTGGGGCTGGATCCTCAGCTCTTCGTCCAGCCGCTCCTTGGCTCTCACCACCTGCAGGGCAGAGGGTTGGCACTCCAGAGGCACGTGTGGCAGAGCACCCACCCACTTTGTGGGCGGCAAGCAGCCACCAGAGGGCAGCACCGCCCAGGAGAAGGGGGGGGCAGATCACAGGAGGCTTTAACAGCTGCGGGGGGGGGGCGCAGAAAATACCAGCCACCTTCCAAGGTTGCCCGGACACCACGTGCAGCCCACCCTCGTGGACCTGGAGGGCTTCAAAACGCTGTGCCAGAAAAGGGGGAGGGACCGAGGGATGCCTCGGACCTAAGGCGCCGGCCGTCGACAGAGAGCAGCGACGCTCCAGCCGGTTGACTCACCTTGGACTGCAGGTAAAAGGAGCCCCCCACGGACTTGTCGTTCACCTTAAACAAATGCTCGTAGTTCTGCCGAAGAAAAGCAGACAACGCCGGGTCAGGTTCAGAGGGTCGGCCCTTTGCTTCTCCGCCTCGCCGTCGCGCAGGGGCCGCTGCCCGAGAGCCCTCCCGGCCCGAACCCGCGGCGCCGGCCCACCTTCTGGATCTCCTCCGGGCTGAGCGTGGAGACGTTAAGGATCTGCTGAGCTTCCTGCAAGCTGATTCCGGAGAGGCTGGAGGCCGCCCAGGACTGGGCGCCCGCCCGCCCGCGCGTCTCGGCGGCCGCTTGGCTGGCTGCACACGGGGACAAGGCGGCTTAGCGTCCCGCCAGGGGCCGAGAGCCCGCGCCCGGCGCCCCCCGGCACGGCTTACCTGCGAACTCCTGCCGCAACGCGCGGGCGAAGGCGCGGCCCACCACCTGGACGCCCACCAGCACGATCTGCGCCAGGTACTTGGCCTGCGGGGACAACGGCGGTCAGGCCCGGCCCCCCGCCCGGCTCGCCCGCCCCGCCGCCCGCCGCCCGCTCACCATGTCCGCCGCGGGAGCGCAGCTCAGAACGGCCGAGAGGAGTGCGACCGGAAGGAGCGGTCCTTCGTCCCGGAAGTAGCCATGAGGAGCGGCCAGAGCGCCTCGTGCGGCGGCGCACGCGAGGCCGACTCCAGCGGCATCCTCCGGTACTGCGCGGGAGCCACCCGACGGCGATCCCGAGCGCAGCGATCGCTCCGAGGGGGCCCGCGTTGCCTCTTCCTGCCCTGCAGGCACCCTGGAAAGATTCGGCCCAGCTGCTCCCGGGAGCTGCTGCGAGGAATTTGCCACCCTTCCCGCCATCTACCAGGGGGACGGAGCCCTGAGCTGCGCCCAACTCGCCGGGGGGAGGGGATAGGGGCTTCTTTTGACCGCGGCCGGGGGCAACCTGCCTCCAAAGGGGCCTGGGGGTGGAGAGCCTTTGGTAGGAGCTGTGTGTAAGGTGCAAGGACCACCCCGGTGCCCAAAGAAAGGGCCTCTCTGCCTTCCCAGCCAGGGGATCTGGCCTTCTGCAGTTTATAGCCGGCAGAACTGAGGAAGTGAAACCCGTGGATTTAGGGGAGCTGGTGGTAAGCTGCCAAAAAGCCCAGGTGTAACTCTGCTCGCCCCCCCGCCCCCCCAGTCCTTCATCAGCAGTGACAGCGGCATCAGCAGAGAGCACTCCTCCTCGGGAAGAGGCAGCCAGGGGGCGACATCCTGGCTGGGAAGCCACAGAAGGAATAAAGACACAGGAGACACCAGAACAGGAGGAAGGAGGTTTTCATGTTAGGGTTACACCCAGCAAGACGGAATCAGCTGGAGAAAGGAGCTTCCTCCTGAGAAGGCAGCTGGTGAACAAAAGCTGCTGCAGCTTCAGGATGCCAGCCTGGAATCATGGGCACCTGTGGGCAGTGAACGAGCCCCGAGGATGCTTGCAAGTGGCCCACCAGCTTCAAAGCAGCAAGCCGGGATGGAACAGAAAGGCTCCTGCCAAGGACAGACCCCGAGGATCCCCTATTGGGTGGAAGCCCTCGCCAGGCAATAGTACACAGGTGGTCTGAGTCCCCATCCCAGCAGGAGGGCAGCCCCTGAGCAGAAGCAGCCAGCCGGTGGGGAGCAGCCTGCAGCCCGACTCTGACGCTTCCTTCCATCCCAGGGGCTGCAGGCAGAGAGGCCGCCTGAGTCTTTCCAGCGCCTGCAGCTACTCCTACAGAGCAATAAGAGATGGGCATGGCTGAGCAATGTTGGGCCAGCTGCTTGAGGTCACCTGCTGTGGGTAGCGGGACAAAGTTCATCCCTCCCAAGTGAAAGACCCTCCCCAGACAGAGCTTTGGTGCTAGCCAGCCCTTAGTGGCTCCCCACCCTGGAATAAAGGAGGCAGGGAGGGAGAGAGGGGAGAGTCGGGTCTCTCTGGCCTTAGCTGGAGAAGCCAACCGGTGGGGAGCAGCCTGCCCCCCAAGTCTGACGCTTCCTTTCCTCCGGGGCTCTGAGGGGGCTGCCCTCCCAGCCTTGCTCTTACCCACTCCTCTTCATCCACTCCCTCAAAGGAGTCCTGCGGGAGGGGGTCATCTCGGTTCCCCAGCTTGGCCACCATGGCACTGAGCAGCTGCAGAGAAGGGGTGTTAGAGGGGGCTTCTTCACCCCAAGGCAGAGGGACTGCCCCTTCCCCCAGTGTAAGGAGATCCAAGGGAGGGAAGGCTCACCTCCTCTTTCTTCTGCTCATCAGATTTTTCTTTCAGGTAGATGGAGGAAGGCAGGTATTTCCGGCTGGGGGCTTCCTTGGGCACTTGGCTCACTGCGTGGGGGGAGGCAGCAGGAGCCCCTTGTTCTCTTGTCCCCTGAACTCCTTCAGCCCTCCCTGCTCAGCCCCCCTCCCCCGTTACCTGGGGTCATGTCCTGGGGTTGCAGGCTGATGGTTTGGTGCTGCTTGTTAGCGCCCTTCAGCCAGGCTGTGGCTGGCAGGGCAGGTTCCCACCACACCTGCGTGGCCGGGAAAAGGTCGTCCTGGAAGAATTCTTTCTATGGGAAGGAAATGCCCCACGGCTGATGAGAGGCTGGAGCACCTCAGGGGCAACGCTGAGCCTCTCAGGCAGGCTCTGAGCTGGGGTGGGGGGCGAGGTATTAGATTGGGGGCCTCCAACGAAGGTCCCCCCCCTGAAGAAAGCTGCCGGGCAGCTGCAAGAGAGGTCTGGCTGTAGGTAAGTAAAGGGCCCTGGAGTCAGCAAGCACCACGGAAGGTCACTTTCCCCAGGCGAGCAAATGAGTGGACCTCTAAGGAATACGGGGCACAGGGAGGCAGTCTGAGTTTCTGAACGACCGATTCATGCAACGGAAGCTGGCCAATTGCAAGTGTTGCTTGGCAGTGTGGACCGAAGGTCTGAGCAATGCACACAGACACCCCTCCCCCGACTGCAGACCCATACACGCACGCAAGCGCACACACACACACGGCTCTACAGGCCAAGCCTTGGGGTTCTACCTTGACCCTGGGGACTCGGAAGGCCACCGGCTCAATGGAGGTCTGCCGGAGGCGCAGTGCCCGGGCAATCTCGACTTCCCGCACATCACACGCCGTCTTGGCCAGGAAGTGAAAACCCTGGAGCAGTCAAGGAGAGAGACTGACCAGTTGTCTTGCAAGGAACAACTCCCCAACCAGCACCCCAGAGATCTTGCAAAGGCTTCTCTGCTGTTGGGATGCTCTGGCCCTGGATGGCCACAAGAGGGCAGGCCACCTAATGCTGGTCAAAGAATCCCCCAGCAAAGGAAGGGGCCTCCAGGGGGCCAGGTAGGTCAACAGCCACTGAGGGAAGGGTGGCCGCAAAGTTCTTCCCCTCTGGGATGCCGTCCCAGCCTCTGGCAGGGACCACCGCTCCCGGGCTGCCAGTGTTGGGGGGCAGGGGGCAGGCAGGAGGGCTGCTGCTCCATTCTTTGCCCTCTGCAGCGTTTTCAAAAGTCTCACACAAAGTTTTGGCCCCCACAGTGTCAAAAGAAGCCAAGTCCAGTAAAGACTCCACCCTGAAAGGATTTCTCAGCATCCCAACCTTGTTTCCCCGCAGGTCCCAGGAGGTGCCTCACCTTGTGGGGGTCGCAGGAGAGGAAGCTGTTGCACTCCAGGAAGAAAGGGGCCTCCGGGACCACCTCATAGACAAAGACCCTCGTGTCACCCTAAGCCCCCAGGAGAGAGAAGAGGTAGAATATGCACAGCCTTGACTGGGGGCTCCGGTCCAAGCCTTACACAAAGGCTAAACTGGCGCCATGGGAACCGTCCAGGAGAAATGCGGGGGGGGGGGGGGGGGCAGAATCCCTATGAGTGGGAAACTGGGCTCCACACACCAGATGCCCAGCCTGGCTAGAGGCAAAAGAAGAGCCATTTTTGTGTCTCCCCCACCCCCCACTAAAGATCCTGCAGGGCGGGGGCCAGATGGCCGGCATTGCTCCCGTGGACATGCCCCAAAGCCCTTGCCCTCTGAGCGGCAGGGTCTCCCTTCCCTCTGGGCTCACCTTGCCCGTGAAGAAGGCCACGCTGGTGTCCACGTCATAGAAAGGGATGAGGGTGGAGGGAGAGACGTCCAGGCCGAGGGTGGCTAGAGGTCCAGCAGCCAGGGCCT